GCAGCCAGTAGTTCACCTAGAATGGGGATCACACATGGCCCCAAAGGCTTACTCAGCAGACCCTCAGCATGCCCTCTGCATTGCCTCCTAAGAGTCAATGTTATTGAGGCCCCAGCAGATGGAAGCATCAGCTTTCCACTGCTAGACAAAATACCGACATACATAGCTCATAGGAAGAAATGCCTGTTGGGGGCTATAGTTTCAGTGGTTAATATCCATGGTCAGCTCACTCAGGGGCTGAAGAGGAAAGCTGGTTGTCTCATGGCAGCTAGGAAGCAGGGTGTGGGAGAACAGAAGGAAGGGGCCAAGGACAGACAGGCTCTGAGGGCACACCTGGACCCACCAGACACACCCACAGGTGTGCTGTATGCATCCCCTAACAGCTCTTGGGCTATTAATCACAATTAACCATCATCATTACATTCCTGAGGTGACAAAGTTGGGCATTGAAAACCACTGTGCTGATAAAGAGCCACCCTTTGTGGACGAAGGACAGGACCTAAAACAAAGGCTAGAATTAGGAAGATTGAAATGCAAACTTAAGGATCAGCTCCCACTATCCAATGGGACTCAATGAGGACTGTGAAGCCAGGAATCTGTAGGGACAAGGAAAGTGTCCTGATGATGAAGATGAGGAAAAGCTGCTCATCTGGCACTTCCCTACCCAAGCTTACTGCAGCTAAAAAATGAGTTGCTATCAAAACTAGAAAACTGAGAGGGAGACAGTGGGTCATTTCCTGCAGCATATATTTACTTGATCTCTAATACACATCACACCTGTGTTAGTGGGGGAGGTCCACACTCCTGGAGCTCACACTTGAGCCCATGAAATCCATGCTCTTGCAAAGTCACTGTGTGTCTATGGGAATGGGTCTGGTTCTCAAAAGGAAGTTGGGAAGTCACTGTCACAGAAGTGACACTTAGAGGCATGACTACTGATGATTGGTTCACTCTTTTACCTATCAAGTCATCTGCGCACTCAACCAATATGCTATTCAGGGTGAAAATATTGGCAAAAACTTGGCCTTAGGAGCTAGACTTCTTGACTGGTTGAGCTACTTGGTAAGATGTCAGTAATGATAACACCTTAGTTTGTGTTTAGGAACATGAAAAAGAGACATGGTGGAACCGTCATTGTAGGAATGCAGAGAGCACAGGAAACTAAGAACGTGGACATGTATGGTATGGGCATATGAGCAGGAGGAAGGGCGAACTGAGACTGGCAGAGAATAGAGAACAAGAGGACTGATTCCAAAAGGCTTTGTGTATACCTGTAAGGAACAAGGGATGGGAAGCAAACAAAATGGCAGTTCATCTCTTTCAGAAGACCTCATTATACAGAAAATTTCTGAATGCTTTGAAAAATCAAAATCTGACATATACATCATGAGGACATGGAATTGAGAGGGCAATCTGGGATAAACATTTGACTCCCAGACCAAAATCAAAGATTTGGACCTAGTTCTCAAATCTGAAAACAACATTGGAAGGAAGCATACCTTGCAAACAAAACTGGCTACACAGTTGAAGAATGTCCATCTTGCACTGGATCATACAATTTGTTGTCCAGTATTTTATGTACATTGAACAATATTTGGGAAATGGGTGATTATGGAAAGAAAACTTGCCAAAGACCTAATCTGTTTTTTTGATCTTTTTTATCATTACTCACCTAGGCTTGAATAATATTCCAATCTGTACTGTGAAAGATGATGAGATTGCACTCAGAACCTTGCAGGGAGGCGGTCAGCTCTGCCACCTGGAGAAGAATGATGCCACAGCTGCCAAAGGCAGCTACCTGCCCAGCCCTGCAGCCCTAGAGAGCCCTGTCCGAGGAGTGTCTCCAGCCCCAAACAGTGTCAAGATTCCACCACGGCCACATTCTGGTG